AGCCCAAATATCTATCATGCCTCATTGTTCTAAGTTTACATGTTTAGACAGATTTTGCTGATTAAATTCTGCCCTATACACTGTAGACACTGAGCCATAAGCCTAAGGCCTTAAAATGTTATTGAAACAGAATTTAAACTTGGACCACTTTCAAAATACCCTGACCCATGGCCTTTTGTAGATTCTTTTTTTTCGTTTTAAGAAGTGTGATGCCTACAGTCCACATCTCTGGTGGTTTTAAGAAATGTAAGCTGGCTTTTTGGGGGATGCATTCTTGAGTATGAAAGTGTCTTAAATTGATTTTCAGTAACTATTTCAGTCAGCACTTCAAAATGCTCTTAGGCACCTGGTGCCATTACATCTTTGCGGTCAATAACTTTCACCTTTTTGTGGCTTACTTCACAAATTAAAACATTTTGTCCATTATATTTTGGTATGTATATTTTATCTCTGATCTAGCATAGTACTGGATACCTGGTAGATTCTCAGGGGAAAATTATTTAGAGTCAAAGATGCTGACATGGCCCAGTCATCCAAAGACTCGCTTCCTGCCTTCTCTTCAGAATTGGTTTAAAAATCAACAATAAGAGAGGTTCCTAAGACCACCCCCTCTAAAACGGCAATCTTAACATGCCTCTCTTCTCATACCCTCCTTTGTTTTTCTTCAAAGCCTTTTTCTCCTACTACCTGATACTCTACCATGGGAATGTGAATGCTATAAAACCAGGAATTTTGTTTTGTTGCATTGTTGTATCCATCCCTAGTGCCTAGCACACAGTATGCAGTCAGATGTTTTCTAAAGGTATAATAAAGGTTAGAAATTATGCCAGATGCCAAAGGGATATAAATATATATATGAGAAATGAATTCATCCCTCATGTACACAAATAACTGTAGTACAAGATGGGTTCAGATGACATAAGAGAACTTCAGTGAAAATACTGGGGGTATTTTAGAGGTTTATTACTTCTAGCTGGCTTCTTAGGAAATGACAGTTAAGCTGGGTCTTTTGTAGACTAAGGAACAAATAAGCGGTGGTTCAGAGGTGCAAAAGTGAATAAGGGTAGTATGTATAAGAAGAGGTAAAATGTTCAGTTTGAGTAGAATATACTAGTGAAATTAGTTATAAAGGTAGGTTAGACCCAGGTTAGTGGAAAGTCTAAAAATCAAAGTTGAGTTTGAATTTTGTCCCACTGGTACTGTAGAAATTGTTTTTCCCCCCTCCTTGAAAGGCAGTTATATGTGGTATGATTGAACGTGCACAGGAATAGACTGAAGACGGAAGTTTGAATTATGGAGTAGGTAGGCGCAGGTAGCAAGGAGTGCATATTAGAATAATAATACAAATTCAAAGGTAGGATTGACAACAAATGATTAGCAAATTGACAAGTCAGATATGGAGAATAAAGAAAATGGAGGCAGCTAAGATGACTGACTCTAAGGTTCTGAACTTGTGGGAAGTAAGATGGTGTTGTCATTAAATGCAGAAAATAGAGAACGTGAAGAAAGAGCAGGTTTGAGAAAGAAAGTTAGTTTATTTATTTTTCAGAAGTATAAAGATTTATTTAATTACAATTAACAAGTTTGTTTTTCTTTTTTTTAATTGAAGTATAGTTGATTTACAGTATTTCAGGTGTACAGCAAAGTGATTCAGTTGTATATATGTATTCTTTTTCATATTCTTTTCTATTATAGGTTATTACAAGATATTGAATATAGTTCCCTGTGCTATACAGTAGGTCCTTGTTGTTTATCAATTTTGTACGTAGTAGTGTGTATCTGATAATCCCAAATTCCCAAAATCTGTTATTACCGCCCCCCCGCAATCCCCAAGGAAGATTAGTTTAATTTTGAATGTGTTGCTTTGTGGTGCTAGCATTTGAATGGAGAAATGCAGTAGGCAGTTGGAAAGCTACTAAGGCCTAAGATTTGGGAATCTTTTGCAAAGCAGTTTTTGAAGCCTTGAGATTGCAAAGGAAGAGTCAAGAGGGAAAGAAGGGAAAATGATGGAGAACAAATTCTTGGGAAATAGTTACGTTAGGAGAATAGAAAGAATAGCCAAAGGAAGAACAAAAGCAAGTAGGAGAACCAAGAGAGGATGACATTGGAGAAGCTAAGGAAAGACATTTTCAGGAAGAAGTAAGATTCAAACCTGTTTCTTGCAGAAAGAGTTCTGTTGTAACCTTGGGAGTATGATATATGTATTGTGTGGGCCAAAAGGTTCGTTCAGTTTTTTCCATAAGATGGCTCTAGTAGCACTTGGTTGTCTTTAACTTCATTCAAAACAATTTTGTTAGATTGTATGTGACAGCTGTCATATCAGTGTGCATTTAAAAAAGACTTATCAGAATTGGTGAATTTTTGTGTAGTCATTTTAATATTGAAGGTGGAAGAAAAAAAGCAACATTTTCAGCATATTATGCTTTATTATTTCAAGAAAGGTAAAAACGCAACTGAAATGCACAAAAGATTTGTGCAGTGTGTGGAGAAGGTGCTGTGACTGATCGAACGTGTCAAAAGTGGTTTGTGAAGTTTCATGCTGGAGATTTCTCGCTGGATGATGCGCTACGGTCGGGTAGACCAGTTGAAGTTGATAGTGATCAAATCGAGACATTAATTGAGAACAATCAACGTTATACCACACTGGAGATAGCCGACATACTCAAAATATCCAAATCAAGCGTTGAAAATCATTTGCACTAGCTTGGTTATGTGAATTGCTTTGATGTTTGGGTTCCAAATAAGTTAAGCGAAAAAAACCTTCTTGACCATATTTCCGCATGCGATTCTCTACTGAAACATTCCATTTTTAAAACAAATTGCGACGGGCGATGAAAAGTGGATACTGTACAATAGTGTGGAATGGAAGAGATTGTGGGGCAAGCGAAATGAACCTCCACCAACCACACCAAAGGCCGGTCTTCATCCAAAGAAGGTGATGTTGTGTATATGGCGGGATTGGAAGGGAGTCCTCTATTATGAGCTCCTTCTGGAAAACCAAACGATTAATTCCAACAAGTACTGCTCCCAATTAGACCAACTGAAAGCGGCACTCGACAAAAAGCGTCCAGAATCAGTCAACAGAAAGCACATAGTCTTCCATCAGGATAACGCAAGACCGCATGTTTCTTTGATGACCAGGCAAAAACTGTTACAGCTTGGCTGGGAAGTTCTGATTCATCCGCCATATTCACCAGACATTGCACCTTCGGATTTCCATGTATTTCGGTCTTTACAAAATTCTCTTAATGGAAAAAATTTCAATTCCCTGAAAGACTGTAAAAGGCACCTAGAACAGTTCTTTGCTCAAAAAGATAAAAAGTTTTGGGAAGATGGAATTATGAAGTTGCCTGAAAAATGGCAGAAGGTAGTGGAACAAAAGGGTGAATACATTGTTCAATAAAGTTCTTGGTGAAAATGAAAAATGTGTCTTTTATTTTTCCTTAAAAAACCGAAGGTACTTTTTGGCCCACCCAGTATTTTCTCTGATACACGTTTTTCTGCTATACTGTTTAGCGTAGCTCTTTACACATAGTAGGTTCTCAACAGCTTAGCATATCTTAAGGGAATAATGGACTCTCTCCTGCTTATCTTTAAAGATTAACATTTGGCAAAATGTTATATAAATATTGAGTGCAGTCTGGTGTCCTGCAGAAGTCTTTGGGAAGTCATTGGGACTAATTTGTGCTTTGCAGATTTTCTATCATGTTATCTGTGATATATTCTCGATAGTTTCTATTTTTGTTTCCTCTTTGGTAAAATAGTAGAAGTCCTAACCAGCAATAATTGAAGGCTCTCAAAGTACCAGGAGGAAAACAGTTAATGGAGTTTAGGGATTGGATAAGTGCTTGTATTTTTTATCTTACTTGAGCTATTTAGCATATGAATTATTTTAGACTGTCTTCAAAGAATATTAATTTTATCACTTTTGTAGGTGCTTTCAGAAATAGGAAACTAGAAAGAATATAACTTGATACAAGTGCAGGAAGACAAATATCAAAAAACTGAAGCTGATTTGTTGAAAAGCTGATTAGAAATTAGAAATTAGAAAGATTTCAGCAGTGTTTTGCAGAAAAGTTAGGGCTATAGAGACTTAGTGCAGCATTTTATCCAGGAAAGACAAAGATTGGACTAGTGGTGACCCTCCAGTATAGCATTAAAAGAGAAAAATCTATCTGTACTAAAGAGAATTTTTAGGCAATAAAATTGATCATGAACTGACTTGAAATTTCATAGTCCACTTGTATGACAAAAATCGACTTTTTAAAAAATTAATTTTATCTTTGGCTGTGTTGGGTCTTCATTGCTGCGCACGCGGGCTTTCTCTAGTTGGGGTGAGCAGGGGCTACTCTTCATTGTGGTGCATGGGCTTCTCATTGCGGTGGCTTCTCTTTGTTGCAGAGCGCGGGCTCTAGGTGCGTGGGCTTCAGTAGTTGTGGCATGTAGGCTCAGTAGTTGTGGCACATGGGCTTAGTTGCTCCGTGGCATGTGGGATCTTCCCAGACCAGGGCTCGAACCCGTGTCCCCCTGCATTGGCAGGTGGATTCTTAACCACTGCGCCACCAGGGAAGCCTTTATTTTTAATTTAGATGAGTTATGGTAATTTAAACATCCAGATTAGTTCATGCAAAGCAGGAAATAATATATTTTGCTTTCCTAACATTTCTTTTGTGAGTGAATGGTTATAGCAGTGTACAACTTCTTACACTTATTTGTTGAGTCCTCTTTACCTGTCATCCTAAAAAAGTAAGTTTGTTCATGTAAGTTTATGCTCAGTTATTAGATCTGATTAATGTAAGATTAAAAGTCTTAAAATAGATTACTGTTAAATTTTTCTTATTTACCATAAAACATTGAACAGAGGGAAAGGAGTAGACCTAGTGAATGCAGCAGTCTTTCTTGCATTATAAATTACACACCTGGTGTAGTGAATTCAGCACATTTAAAATAAAAATAATTTTATATGTTCATTTAATCATTGCACTTCTGATCGTTTGTAGGCGAAACCTAACCAAACTGTCCCTGATCTTCAGCCACATGCTGGCAGAACTAAAAGGAATCTTTCCAAGTGGACTCTTTCAAGGAGACACATTTCGGATTACTAAAGCAGATGCTGCAGAATTTTGGAGGAAAGCTTTTGGGGAAAAGTAAGACTCAAAATAATGAATTTGAACTATGAAGAACTGAAGCTTGTGTTTTGGGTTTTTGTTTAGTTTTTTATTGATGGAATATTTAAAACATGGGAAACAGAAAAGTAATATGTGTGTACCTACTTCCCAACCTTTTTTGCTCTGATTATTTTTTTTAAAAGAAATAAACCATTGCAGTTCTGTTGAAACCCACGCTCTTTGATTGAATGCTCTTCTCTTTCTTTACTCATCCATTATGCTGTTAATGGACATTTACATTTCAAACTATTTGCTATTGCAAAACAGTGCTTCAGAAAGCAAAATTGTATTTGTCTTCATATGCAAGAGTTTCTCAATAGTTACATACCTAGAAGTGGAATTGCTGAGTCAGGGGGTTTCACATCTTCTGCTTTGCCAAATATTGCCTAATTGTTTTCCACAGTGGTTGTACCAGTTTATATTCCTATAAGTAGTGTACACGTGTTCCAGTAGCTCTGCAATTTGACTAACACTGATGATATGAATTGGTATCATATTTTGCTTTATATTCCTAAATGACAAGGGAGCTTGAGCACCTTTTCACGTTTGTCACCAATCAAGATTCTTATTCTCGCCTTCCTATTCCTATTCCTGACTTGTCCATTTTCCTATTGAGTTGTTTGTCTTTTTCCTGTTGTAAGATACTAACTCTTTGTTAGTCACTTACATTATTTTCTCCTAGTCTACGGCTTGTCTTTCCACTTTGTTATATTGTCTTTTTGATATTCAGAAGTCTTACATTATACAGACAGATTTATGAGACAAGTTTATGTTTCTAAGTATTAATATAAATGTTCTTGAATATCCTCTGAAATTTTGGTTCAAAGAACTGAAAAGGTAGAAAACAATAAAATTTTTCAGTTGAATATACAGATCCTAATTTAAATCTCTCTTTAAATGCTTTCTTTCTTTTTAATTGAAATATAGTTGACGCACACTATTAAGTTAGTTTCAGGTATATACTACATATTGATTTGAAGTTTGTTAAACGCTTGATTTATTTTAAAAAAATCATGTTTAAACATTAAATATAGAATAATTAGTGATTTTTAAAAACTTAGTTGAAGAGAATGGGAATGAGTTTAACTTTGTTCCTTTAACTTAAAACTAGCTACATTAGAAAAGAGTTTGAAACACCACTTGTTCTCTTACTTTCAGGCAGGTGAATACATAAACTTTTCAAAGGCAATGAGATTTTATTTTATTTTTTAAGATCTTGAGAAATAGAAATCCCACAATATCTTTTGCTAGCCATATCTGGGGTTTTATCATTCTTATGTTAAATAATTTCTTCTTCATCTCTATCAGAACTCTGTTCTTCCTGTACCTTAAGCCTGTATTCCTCTAGTGAAGTCCTTGATACTGTGGGTTCCTCAAAAGAACACAGAGTGTTTTATGTGCTTTTAAAAAGTTAAACACAAGCTTTCAGTTACTAAAGATCTGGACACAGGTTACATCTGTTATACAAAAAGGATAATCTTATCTCTCTTTCCAATGCTTTTCTAATAGAACAAATGTCTGAAGAAAGATGAGAAAGGGAATGAACTTGTAGCATTCTGCCGAAGAAAAGTAAAAAAAGACGTCTCTATTATTAATTTATTCATTAGAAAGTTAAGAAATGTATCATTTATGCCCTTTCTGTTCTCAATGTAAAATATAGTTCAGCTTCTTTAAGAAAATTGAAATTGATATTGAGAGCTTAATGTGGCTCTCTTTTCCTTGAATGTAGCAATGCCTGAAATTATCTGTTATCTCACTCTGTGCCTTCTCTCCTACCCCGACTCCCATCCTAGGACAATAGTACCTTGGAAGAGCTTCAGACAGGCCCTTCATGAAGTACATCCCATCAGTTCTGGGCTGGAGGCCATGGCTCTGAAATCCACTATTGATCTGACCTGCAATGATTATATTTCAGTGTTTGAATTTGACATCTTTACACGACTCTTTCAGGTAGGATACTAAAACGTTGGCTAAACTAGTTATTGCTATTTTTCTGAAGAGAAACCTTTTTAAAAAATAACATTTGGACATTTGGGATTTTGCCTATTATGAAAATATTTTTATTCATTCTAGAAACTATAGCCAAAAAAAAAAAAGGTTAAAACTACTCTATTTTATATATACATATTTTTTTTGTAAAAAGAATAACTATATAATCTGCTTTATTCCCCTCACATTTATAATCTTTCTCTATTATTAAATATTCTTCTTTGCATCATTTTAATGGTTGTAGAACATCCTAAAGATGGGTATAATATATTTAGTGAGTTCTGTTATTGAACATTTATGTATGTTTCCAACTTTTTCTCCTATCGTATTGAAATTCTTGATTGTTAATATTAAGATGTATTGATGCTCCACAAAGAACTCATTTCTTTCTCTTTCTAAAAACAATGGGTGTATATGCCACCTTGTGTAAACCTTTATTTGAAATTTCTTACTTGCACATCTAGGCCTTGCCCTGTTTCTCTGTTTTTGTTTGTTGTTTAGCCTCACTACTCTTGGTTAGAGCTGCTTGGAAATTTTCTGAATTTCATTTTGTATAATTAAGTTTCTCCCTTATAAGCATGTGTAATTTTCTTCTTAGCTTTTCAGAGTTCTTATTTCCCAAACATGTTTGTCTTCCCTTAAAGTAACAACATGATTGAAAATATGTGACACTAAATGGAGAATTTATAATTGGGAATTCAGGTTGTTTTTCCTTTTGTTCTTCATTGCTCTGAGGCTGGTTGTATGTCTTGGGCCAAATGGTCTGATTGATCTCTTGTTTCCTTAGCCCTGGTCTTCTTTGCTCAGGAACTGGAACAGTCTTGCTGTAACTCATCCTGGTTACATGGCTTTCCTGACATATGATGAAGTGAAAGCTCGGCTCCAGAAATTCATTCACAAACCTGGCAGGTCAGTGCAATGCAGCAGAGAGGTTTATTCACCTGAACTTTATTCTCCTGTGACCTTTGCTGAAATAGAGGAAACATGATCTTTTACTAGTTCCCCAGTGACCACATTTCTGCGGCAGGATTGATGTCTGTTTATCAGAGGAATTGACGTATTCAGATACTATGATTTGATAAATGCTTTCAAGCCACTTAAGAATTGAGCTTATATGTCTTTTGCTTTTGGTCTGAAGCCATTAAAGAATCTATTATTGATGGTCCTTTTGATTTTTGTCTCTGTCTTGTCTTTCCACCCTAATGCAAGTATGTACATTAAAGATTTTGTTTCTCTCTGTTCTCAGTTACATTTTCCGGCTGAGCTGTACTCGTCTGGGTCAGTGGGCTATTGGGTATGTCACTGCTGATGGGAACATTCTCCAGACAATCCCTCACAATAAACCTCTCTTCCAAGCACTGATTGATGGCTTCAGGGAAGGCTTGTAAGTACATACTGTTTACCATCTGCTAGAGTCTAGGAACTTAGGGGCTGTAAAACTGCATCATTAATGACTTTAGTCCAGGTTTCTTCTACAGATAGATTCAGCACACATATTGACAGGTTATATTGCTTGGATTTTCAGGTTCAGGGGACTCTTCTGTTTTTATTTTGGAAGGATTTTCCTTGAGTGAAATTAGTTTTCTCTACTACGTCACTAGTTACCCTGAGTAAATTTTATCTTTTCTTTCTTTCTAAATGTTAATTTATTTTCAAATCTATACTAGATTTTAAAATATGCCGATTAGCAGAAAACGTTACCTGTTATTCGACTAGCCAACATTAGAATGATTAGATGTTCCTGATGGCAGCACGCTCAGTGGCCTTCATCTGCCTTCATCCTAACTTCGTTTTGATTCAGCAGCATTTCTTCAGGCTATGGGCTTTTGTAACCTCTGCTAATATTGATGACTAAGTTCTTATTTATTCCAGAATTGCCATTCCTTTTGGAATTCAAATTGATGATCAGTTGGCAAGCACTAAAAATACTAACAGTTGACCAGGTGTCAGAAAACGACTTGTGTTTGAAAGTGATTAGGAAAATCCATTTCCCATTATGCATCAACTTCTACAGTAGCATTGGAGCTGAAAGGGGTACTTCCCCAGATGTCAGAGCAGTGGATGCTCCAAGCTTCCTGGTAGTTGATCTCAGTGGCTTAATTTGCTTCTTGTTACATTTCTTTTAAATTAACAGACTTCTCTGGCGGTCCAGTCGTTAAATTAGCGTCTCTCTGTGTTAAACCTGTAAACAAAGGTATTTCAGGTCTTTGGTCAAAGCAAATGTCATTTAAATTAAGAATTTACACTTTGTGGCCATCCACAGATTAAAATAGGAGTTGGTAAACTGCGGCCCACAGACTAGGTGTTTTGGTACAGCCTGCATCTAAGATAGTTTTTCCTTTTTAAAGTGTTGTTAAAAAAACAACCAAAGAAGAATATGTGGCACAGACTTAGGCGGCTTGCACAGCCTGAAATATTTACTCTCTGGTACTTTACAAAAAAAGTTTGTCAACCCCTTGATTAAAACAGAGAAAGAATATCAGTGTTTGGAGAGTATCTTCTTGGAACTGATCTGTGTTATTTAATTTTTTTGAAGTACTAGTAAAATTTATCTTTGCACTTATGCAAAATTGCCCTTTTAGAATATGAGAGAATTCCTAGACAACATGTGTCTGTATTAGTAAGCAGTGATAAATTGGCTTCAGTAGAACCCCAAGATTGGTTACTCTTTTTATAGCTATTTGTTTCCTGATGGACGGAATCAGAATCCAGACCTGACAGGCTTATGTGAACCAACTCCCCAAGACCACATCAAAGTGACCCAGGTGAACTTTGTTTTAAATTATAACCATATTACTAGAGCTGAGCTTTTGTATAATACTTTACAGAACTGACAGTAGAATTATATTAAGTGATTGGAACACTTAAATATTAAACCATTGACTAGATTAGTGAATTTAGGTGTGTGTGGCTTCTTTTCCTTTTTTTAGATAAATTTATTTATTTTAATTTTTTTTTGCCTGCGTTGGGTCTTTGTTGCAGCGAGCGGGGGCTACTGTTCATTGCTGTGTGCGGGCTTCTCATTGCAGTGGCTTCTCTTGGTTGCAGAGCACGGGCTCTAGGCACGTGGGCTTCAGTAGCTGTGGCTTGCTGACTCTAGAGGCTCAGTAGAATCCAGACCTGACAGGCTTATGTGAACCAACTCCCCAAGACCACATCAAAGTGACCCAGGTGAACTTTGTTTTAAATTATAACCATATTACTAGAGCTGAGCTTTTGTATAATACTTTACAGAACTGACAGTAGAATTATATTAAGTGATTGGAACACTTAAATATTAAACCATTGACTAGATTAGTGAATTTAGGTGTGTGTGGCTTCTTTTCCTTTTTTTAGATAAATTTATTTATTTTAATTTTTTTTTGCCTGCGTTGGGTCTTTGTTGCAGCGAGCGGGGGCTACTGTTCATTGCTGTGTGCGGGCTTCTCATTGCAGTGGCTTCTCTTGGTTGCAGAGCACGGGCTCTAGGCACGTGGGCTTCAGTAGCTGTGGCTTGCTGACTCTAGAGCACAGGCTCAGTAGTTGTGGTGCACGGGCTTAGTTGCTCCACGGCATGTGGGATTTTCCCGGACCAGGGCTCGAACTTGTGTCCCCTGCATTGGCAGGCAGATTCTTAACCACTGCGAGACCAGGAAAGTCCTCTGTGGTTTCTTTTAAACTGTGCTTCTTAAAATAGGGCCAAAGGACTTCTCTGGTGGTCCAGTGGTTAAGACTCCGTGCTTCCATTGCAGGGGGCACAGATTCAATCCCTGGTCTGGGAACTAAGATCCCACATGCTGCAGGGTGCGGCCAAAAAAAAGGACCAAGACTAGGTGCTTTCTGTTTTAATTGAACACTGTTGTGACACTTTCATACAAGCAAAATAAGTATTAAAAGTAACAGTTTTCAATTTTCCTGTTTTTAGCATTTACAGTTGCAGTCATTCATTCAACAAATATTTGCAGTAGGCTGAATTATCTCTTCATTTCTTTTTAATCAAAGGAACAATATGAATTATACTGTGAGATGGGCTCCACATTCCAACTGTGTAAAATATGTGCTGAAAATGATAAAGATGTAAAGATTGAGCCCTGTGGACACCTCATGTGCACATCCTGTCTAACATCCTGGCAGGTATGGATCCAAATCATGCTTTTTTCTCAGCTAAGTAATGACAATGAAGAATTGGGGATTGTATATATCCTTTATGGATATAAAGAATGGCCTGGTTTGTGGGGTAGGTTCTAAACTTTTGATTCTTTTTTCGTTTCTAGGAAATGTATTTTTAGTGGACAAATATTTTAAGAACTTTCACATGTGTCTGTTACCATCTCCTGTTTCCTTTGCAGGAATCAGAAGGCCAGGGCTGTCCCTTCTGCCGATGTGAAATTAAAGGTACTGAGCCCATTGTGGTTGATCCCTTTGATCCTAGAGGAAGTGGCAGCCTGCTGAGGCAAGGAGCAGAGGGAGCTCCCTCCCCAAATTATGATGATGATGACGATGAACGAGCTGATGATTCTCTCTTCATGATGAAGGAATTGGCTGGTGCCAAGGTAAGCTTCAGTTTAAGAGACTGTGGCAAAATCCATTATCAGTTGTGTCCTAAAGCAATAGAGCACTTAATGACATCCAAAATACAAGGAGTGACAATAGCTAATATTTATTGAACATTTACTGTGCGAGAAAAAATGATGCTAAGTACTTTACTTCTTTTAACTCATAATCTTATACTGATACATATTCATGTAACCCTATGAGTAGATATTACTGTTCTCCTCATTTAGCAGTGGGAGAAACCAAGGCACAGTGAGGTTAAGGAATTTGCTGAAGGTCACACAGCTAGTAAGTCGAACCAGAATCTGTGGCCAGACATTCCGGCTTCAAGGCCCATGCTCTTATTTTCTGTATGCTAGAACTGGGCTCTATTCAGATAGCTTGGTGGAGAAAATGAGGGGTGAGTAAAAGAATTGGACCCATTTTGCTACTGTGAATAGAATATTTTCTCCTTGTCTTTTTTTCTAACGGAGTCTTGGCATTGGAAAGTTAGGTTTGGGCAGGAGAAATGAGGCACCGTTAACAACCAAATAAATGGCAACTACAGTGATTGGAGGGTGATAGGAGGTACCATACAGAAACTAAAACTAGAAAGGTCCTAGTAAAGATGGGAAAGATAAAGGCTAAGAAAGGATGTGACCAAGTTCTGTTACGTCAGTGGTAGGGTAAAACAGGGATTTTTCACTAATTAGAAGTAAGGCAGTCATTGAAGATTTTAATAAATATAGGGCAAACAGAGGTTCTAATATGCTGTCAGTTCTCTAGTTTGGACTGTTATAACTTCATAGGAGACATTTTTTTGTACAAAAGAAGCTTTCTTTTATACCAGCACCTGACTGCCTGGCACATAGTAGGTGCTCAGTAAATGTTGAAAGGATGGATTCCATCTCTTAAGTGATTGTATCCAGTGTATCTTTTCCTTTCTGTCCTCAGTGTCACTGCCTTATTTCAGGCTCTTATAATCATCTGTTCGCCCCGCTTCCAGAGTCATTGATCTACAGCACATACCTTGACTACCTCATTCCTTTGCCTCACACTCTTTAATGACGTCTCATTACTTAATGGATTAATAAGTCCATTCTCTTTTCTAGGCACTTTGCCCTGGTGATCCTTTCCACTTTGTATTTTGTAATCCAGCAAGGCTGAACCACTAAAAATTTCTCCATGCTTTTGTCTTGATAGTTTCTATGTAATTTAGCTCAGTTTTCATTTCCTAGGAAACCTTTCCATACTCTATCCTGTTTCCCCCACGCCCAGACCCACAAATAATCTAGGTCTGGCTAAGTGTTTCTGGGATGCTATGAATATGTCTGCCATAGAACTTATCACCTTGTCATATTATATTAAAAGTATTTCCCGGGAATTCCCTGGCAGTCCAGTGGTTAGGGCTCCACGCTTCTGCTTCAGGGGGCACCTGTTCGATCCCTTGCCGGGGAACTAAGATCCTGCATGCCACGTGGTGTGGCCAAAAAAAAAAAAACCAAAAGAAAGTATCCGCAGGGGATTGGGTCCTGGAGCCCCAGCAGATAAAAAAATGCAGATGCCCAAGTCCCTTATATAAAATGGCACAGTGCAATGAATACAGTCGGCCTTCCTTACTCAGTTGGGTTTGGCAGAATTCAGTTCCTTGCCAGTCGTAGAATTAAGATCCCCATTTCCTTGCTGGTTGTCAGCTGACGGTATTTTTTAGGGGCCAGCTACATTCTTTGGCTCCTGGACTCCTTTCCTCCTCCTTCAGTCATGAAGGTTCTCAACTTTTAAGGACTCATGTGACTAGATTGGGCCCACTTGGATAATCCAGGATAATTCCCCTATCTCAAGATCTATATCCTTAATCACATCAGCAAAGTTCCTTTTGCCAAGTAAGATAACAGATTCGCAGATTCTAGGTTTTAGGGCATGAACATCTTCCTGTGGGAGAGGGGACCGTGATCATTATTCTGTCTACTACAGTCCATATAACAGAATGCTCTGCAGAGTGAATTCAGTTGACATATACTTAAGTGGAAAGCTGTCAATGTGTATTAAATTTAAAAAAAACTGTATATTATATATAATATCACCTTATTTCTGTTAAAATTATTTAGTTGCAAAAGAATTATTTTAACATGCATGGGGGGAAAATTGGATGACTACACATCACATTACTATTATTTCTGAGGCTACAGGATCAGAGGACTTTCATTTTATGGTATGTTTGAATTTTTCACAGTTAACACATATTACTTTTGCAAGCTGTTTGTTGTGCTAGTTACTTAGCTCTCTTGAGTGCTATGTGGAATAAGAAACCTAAGACAAAGGCCCCAAAGGAGATAGTAGTTTTATTTGGGAAGAGAATATATATACAGGTGAAACACTATTTAATACAAGCCAGACAGTGCACATTATTCAAAATTGTTGGGTACACAGTCTAAGTGCTATAGGACTTTAGAGGAAAGAAGAAAATTAACAGTTTTTTCTGTAGCTAATATATATAAATGAGATTAAATTTACTCATTTAAATAAAAGCAGTAAATGCATACTGTAAAAATTCAAGTTGAAAAACAAACAGCTTCATATATTGTTTTGCACTTGGCTATTCTGTAATTCATTTAGTTTCTTCTTAATGGACATTCCTGTTGTTTCCAGGCTTACACATATGGACATTCTTTTGCAAGTCTGTCTGTAGGGTAAATTTCTAATAGTGGAATTGCTAGATTAGAGTATGTCCATTTAAACTCTTTGAGAGAGGAGAGGCATATAATTAGTGGTGGGACACATGGTGTTTCATTTCTTAGCTGAATGGTAGGTTCTACGTGGGTGTTTCATCTTTTATTATTCTTTGTACCTTATAGTTCATTATCTACTTTGTATGAATAAAATACTGGAATAAAAATATCTTAACTTTTTTTGGATAGACATTAAAATTTGTTCCCAATTTTTTGTCTTAAAGTCACTCCCAAAGTATATGAGACTATGAGAGTGCCTGTTTCGTCATATCCTAGTAGCTTGTTGTTGCTTTTTGCTGTTTGTTTCGTTTCGATTTGTTTTTTTTAAATTATTTTTGGCTGCATCGGGTCTTCCTTGCAGTGCACAGGCTTTCTCTAGTTGCGGCGAGTGGGGACTACTCTTTGTTGCGGTGCGCGGGCTTCTCATTGCGGTGGCTTCTCTTGCTGCAGAGCACGGGCTCTAGGCACACGGGCTTCAGTAGTTGCAGCACGTGGGCTCAGTAGTTGTGGCTCGTGGGCTCTAGAGCACAGGCTCAGTAGTTGTGGCACACGGGCTTAGTTGCTCCGCGGCATGTGGGATCTTCCTGGACCAGGGCACGAACCCGTGTCCCCTGCATTGGCAGGCGGATTCTTAACCACTGTGCCACCAGGGAAGTCCCTGATTTGTTTTTAAAATAGTGAGTCTACTTTTTAAAAAATTTCATGTGATCAGTGCACTTGGATTTTTTTTTTTTAAGTTTAAAAGAATTGCTAAAAGGCTTACAGAAATGTCAGTTCCCTGCTTCTACCCCCTCTAACTCCTGTGTCCCATTCAGATTTTTCGGTTCTTAAAGCTGTTCCTTAACCATATACTATACTGCTTTCTCTTGATTCTGCAATATTAGTTATGTTTAGAAAAGGATTTAAATGTCTTATCTCCCTCCTTCCTACTCCCTGTCTTCCTACTATAGTTAATTTGAATGTTTTTTGGTTCTGTCAGTATTCAGTGTTTAAGTGATTTTTGCTCCCTATTGAATCGAGTAATATACTATAATGTGTTGATAATTACTTTTGCTTTCTTTTACAACCTTCTGCTTTTCTGAAATAATTGATTTGCTTTTATTTCCTTAGTGTTCAGTTTGTACCTGTCACTACCACATCTTACCAAACATCCTCTTGATGTGATTTTCTGTGGAGTAAATTCTATTAGCATATTAATATAGTAGATATTATGTAATATAGTATACTAATATATGAGAGTCTACCATGTTTTGGCTCCAGTCTGGACTGGTTTTTCGCTGGGTGTGCTGCATTCCATGTCACCCTGAGGTGTCTCCCCTCACCATCATTGTGGGACTTCATTGCCTCTTCTTTGTGTTGGAGTGCCTGTTTCTTAACTCCCATGTTTTTGTGTTTCTTGCTTTAACTTCCTTGTTTGGGTGGAGTATGCTCTCAAAATAGCTTTCTGTGAAAAGGTGAGAGGTGAAATTTTTGAGACGTTTGATATCTTAAAATGTCTCTATTCAACCCTCAAACTGACTAGGTACAGAATTCTAGGTTGAAAAAGAAATTTAGCTCTATGAATTGTTACAGCCTCAGTGACTTCTAGTTTCTAGTGTATTTTTGCTCTTTAGTACCGCCTTTCCCTCTATCCTCAGAAGCCTTTAGGATATTTTCCTTATCCTTGATTCCCTGAAAATTTAAGTGTTTTGTTGGTTGGTTGATTGGTTATTAGTTTTCTTTTCTTTCTTTGGGCTAGCTATGCAGTGAACGCTTTCTATATGGATATTTATGTCCCTTAGGTCTTAGAAATATTCTTGTATTATTTCTTTGATAATTTCATCCCCGTATGTGCTTTTATCCTTTTCTGGAACTTTGTTGTATGTTGAGATGAAAGAACATCTCATGGGTCGGTTATGCTATTGAAACATGAATTGAAGAATATGATTAGCTCAATCCTCTGCCCTTTAGGAATGAGAAGGAGGGATGGATGGTGGGAGGGATCAAAATAGGCAGAGAGGGCCTTCCAAATTGAGAAACAACTTGAACAAAGTTAGGGAGGTAGGAATTCCAACACAGGGCATTATGGAAAATGCTGTTGGTTAGGGAGATCAAATTAGACTTGAGAAAGCGAGGCAGGAAAGTGACATTTTGTGACGTGGGAAAGTGGAAGTTACTGATGAATGGTTTTTGAACTAGTGAGTATTTAAGGATGGTTAAGCTGGTAATGGTGAGCAAAATGATTTGGTGAGATAAGAATCTAGAAGTTGGGAGAATCACTAGAAGGGGGTTTTAATAAATCAGGTCTGAGGTTGGTAAGTAGAATGAAAAGGAAGATATAGATATGAGATTATTTTATGGAAAAATCAACAAGATACAGTGACTAGATATTGATGATGAAGTGAGAGTTAGTTTGACTAATAACTTTTCACTTCCTTAACGCTTGAGGTGTTTAGCTGCTCATGCTGCATTGACATGGAGCCCGTTTTCTTAAGCATGAGTAAAAGCAAGTAGCTGATGATGCAGCCTTTTTTTCCCTCATTCACCTCCCAGCGTTAATGATAGGACTCAGTATGGGGATGGTTGTTTCTCTGTCACCTTACGTAAGTGCTTGTAATACATATTTGCCTATTTTCCATCTATTTTGCTTTTAGGGAATGCAAATGTGAATTAGTATTTTGTATAAATTCTTGTTTATCTCTTGACAGCTTACTTGGACAAGCTTATCAGCTACTCATCACCCTGCTGTAGGCAGGGAAATGGAAAAGTTTATACGTTTATTTGTTTCTTTTGATTTGGCACCTCAATTTTTAGAATACAAATTGACAAAAAAAAATTATCCCTTTTAATTACTGAATTGAAATAACATTTCTTTGGAAGAACTAAAGATGCTTTTTAGTAATACCATTGATCATTTTCTCTTATAAATCTCTTTTTTTCTTTTAGTCACAATAACCCATGGAGAATTTATTAACTTTGATTTCTTTCCTCATTCTGCCCCTTAATCATTATTTTCCTAGGTGATTTGTTGAGAGGTTAATCTATGCCCCTTTCTTTTAATATGGTTTTCTGTTTTTAATCTTGGAAAGATTTTTTCTTTTTCTGAAAAGGAAAATATGGGAAATTGTAAAGTTTTCTAAAATTATAAGCTAGGAAGCTTTTCATGTAGCACAGCCTTGTCTAGATATTACATTTTGCCTGTAGCTTGCATCTGCATGGTATTTCCGTGATTGAGAGCGCCCTCTTCTGGTGACATAGAAATAATTCAGGAAGCACTACCTTAAGCCAAAGTCAGGCTCATTGGTATATTCTGTGTTCATGTAGTACTTGCTGTGTACATCTTTCAGAGGAGTTGAGAGATGCCATTCCTCCAGACAAGAATAACCTATTAGGAAATTTTTTGTGTGTTAGGTGGAACGACCTCCTTCTCCATTCTCCATGGCCCCACAAGCTTCCCTTCCCCCAGTGCCACCACGGCTTGACCTTCTACAACAGCGAATATCTATTCCTTCAAGTGCTTCTGGTCTTGGAACTGCTTCTAAGGTAAAGCATTATCCATTTCTACATTTTCTGATTCTTTGTTGTGTGTTAGTGCGGTTTGATTGATTGCTTCCATCATGCTTCCACAGGCTCCTTCTGGCTCCCTTCATAAGGACAAACCATTACCAATACCTCCCACTCTTCGAGATCTTCCACCACCACCCCCTCCAGACCGGCCATATTCTGGTGGAGCAGAAACACGGCCTCAGAGACGCCCCTTGCCATGTACACCAGGAGACTGTCCGTCCAGAGACAAACTGCCCCCTGTCCCCTCTGGCCGCGCTGGAGAAGCATCATGGCTGCCTCGGCCAATCCCCAAAGTACCAGTAGTTGCGCCAAACCCTAGTGACCCCTGGACAGGGAGAGAATTAACCAACCGGCACTCACTTCCATTTTCCTTACCCTCACAAATGGAACCCAGAACCGATGTGCCTAGGCTTGGAAGCACATTCAGTCTGGATACCTCCATGGTGAGTCCTGATTTTGAAATTATTTATCTTAATAACAAACATTCGTGGATGACATTGAATGGGTCAGTTCTGTGGTATGTTTTGTACAGGATTCAAGGATAATATTAATCCCTACCCTCAAGAAGTGTATATGTTAATATGTTGGTTAATGCAATAAATGTGTTTCTGGGTGTGTATGCCATGAGTAGTATAAATAGAAAACACTTCAGTTTTAAAGAAAAGAGAGATTTTCTAGATAGAAGAGAGATTATTTCTAGATAGAACAATCATGAGGGCTTATGGGAAGAGTGGCATCTGAATGTGAAGTATTCTTTCCAAAGTGGATACAGTTTTAAAATAGACCTACAATGACAGAAATGCTCAAGATGTATTGTGGGATAAGAGGCAGTTTAATTTGAGAAAAACAGAAATTTTGGGTATCAGAGTAGGAAAAGGGGCTAGAAAGGAGCATTGCTGCTAGATTAGAGCACTTTGTATACCCCCTCCCAAAAGAATTGGAATTTATTTGGTACAAATGAAGAGTACGTGAAGATTAAATTAGTGGAGTGACATGACCAAAATGATGGTTTAAAGAGAGGAATCTAGGAATAGTATGCAGGATGGATTGGAAAGAGAATAGATTGAAAAAAGGGAGGTTAGCAGTTCATTGGATAAGCATGAGATAATGGGTCTAGAACCGGGGGTGGGAGAGGTATATTCCTTCTTTTGTTGGTTCGTTTATGCACTGAGCAAAAAAGTTTGCCTTCACAAAGTTAACATTCCACCGGAGGAAAGATGGAAAATGAACAAGATACGTTACAAAACATGTAAGATAGTGGATGCCGGCGAATGCTGTGGATAAAAATAGGGTAAAAACAGGGTATAGGGCAAGTTGGGATGGGGCAGGTACATGTAGGGATGGGGTACAATTCTCAGCAAAGACCTGGAGTAGTGTGGGGAGTGACCTGGAGCAACGGGGGATGAGGGAAAAGCAAGTGAGTTTGGGAGAGTCTATTTGAGGAATAACAAAGGGGTCTCATATAGCTGGTACTGGGTAAACAAGGGGAAGAATCCTGGTCGAGGAGCAGGAGGGGGAGCTGGTTTAGGTCGAGACTTTAGGGAGCATGAAACAAAGACCCAGAAAGGCTTGAAAGCAGTCAGTGGGTGGAAAAAAGGATGAAAAATCGCATACACACACATATACACATGCACACACCCCAGAGGTTTTGAACCTGGCTAACTAGTGACAGACAAGTTGAATTTGAGATGAGCCATTGAAGGAAGAATTGTCCAGTAGGTAGTTAGAAATCCAAGAAAAAGATGGAATTGGAGGGTGAAGTTAAGAAATCCTGTGGTCCTTAAATGAACTATGTATTTCTTCGTTGAAAGGGAAAGGGGAGGGTAACTTAGTGTTTAAGTGGCATTTATGTGGTAGGCAGTGTAATTAGTGAGAGTGAATTAGGTTTGACTTTCTGGTGGCATCAGTATAGAAAGATGTATAGATTTTTTAAGCTAGAATGGTATTTGTGCAGACAGCCAGTTTCCTCAGATCTTTCTAGGATTAAAACAAACAAAAAAAACCCATTTCCTAGAACTGTCTCCCTAACCCTTACATTTGAACTTTGAACTATACTTTTGTCACACATAATAATCCTTAAGCATGGCATTGGGGGTGAGGTCTGTGTCTGTATGATTGTTCTTGTTATTTTGAATAGATTAAATAAGTAAGAGGAGATACTTAGCTGTATTAAGAAGGTTCTTTTTTTTTTTTTAACACTTTTCTTTCCAGAATATGAATAGCAGCCCATTAGCAGGTCCAGAGTGTGAGCATCCCAAAATCAAACCTTCTGCATCTGCCAATGCCATTTATTCTCTGGCTGCCAGGTAAGTTTACTAAAATTATATTTCATACAGTAGAGTTGATACTTTTAAACAACTTATTTATAGAAAATTTAGAAAACCCTGAAGAGTATAAAGAATAAAATTAAAATTGACCTGTATTTCCATTATGTAAAAATTATCATGTTTTGGACTGTTTCTTTCCATTATTTTCTCTGTGTATATGTACATAGATCAGTCTTGCTGGGGCTCATCAATTTTATTAATCTTTTCAAAGAAGCAATTTTGGTTGGGTTTTGTTTTTTGTTTTTTAAATATTTATTTGTTTGGCTGCACTGGGTCTTAGTTGTGGCACATGGGATTTAGTTCCCTGACCAGGGATTGAACCCGGGCCCCCAGCATTGGAAGCATGGAGTCTTAACCACTGGACCACCAGGGAAGTCCCTAAAAGAAATTTTTTAAAAAGCCAACCGGGACACTTTCACAGTGTGGCCAAAAACAAAAAACAACGAAAAGGTCGGCAGCAATCATTTGACCATATATGTGAAGATTTGTTGATACTTCTATGCTTTCCACTCTATTCCATCAGTCTATATGTCTGTCTTTATGCCAACACCACACTCTTTATTTTTTTAATTTATTTTATTTAATTTATTTATTTTTGGCTGCATTGGGTCTTCGTTGCTGCATGCAGGCTTTCTCTAGTTGCTGCGAGTGGGGGCTATTCTTCGTTGCAGTGTGCGGGCTTCTCATTGCGGTGGCTTCTCTTGTTGCGGAGCTCGGGCTCTAGGCGCGCGGGCTTCAGTAGTTGCGGCTCACGGGCTCTAAAGCGCAGGCTCAGTAGTTGTGGCGCACGGGCTTAGTTGCTCTGCGGCATGTGGGATCTTCCCAGACCAGGGCTCAAACCCGTGTTCCCTGCATTGGCAGGCGATACTTAACCACTGCACCACCAGGGAAGTCCCTGGACCATTTTTAAAGTCTATTGAATTTGTTACAATATTGCTTCTGTTTTATGTTTTGGGTTTTTTTTTTTTTTTTTTTTTTGGCCGTGAGGCATGTGGGATCTTAGCTCTCTAACCAGGGATTGAACCCGCACCCACTGCATTGGAAGGCAGAGTCTTACCTACTGGACCGCCAGGGAAGTCCGGAGTTTTTCTATTTGTGCAAAAAATGTCACTGGGATTTCAATAGGGATTGCATTTAATATGTAGGTCACTTTGGGTAGTACTAACATCTTAACAATATTAAGTCTTCCAATCTATGAACATGGAATGTGTTTCTGTTTATTTGTCTTCTTTAATCTCTTTCAGTGGTGTTTTGTAATTTTTAAAAAAAATTTATTTATTTTACTTATTTATTTTTGGCTGCACTGGGTCTTTGTTGCTGCACACGGGCTTTCTCTAGTTGCGGCAAGCGGGGACTACTCTTCGTTGCGGTGCGTGGGCTTCTTATTGTGGTGGCTTCTTTTGTTGCGGAGCACCGGCTCTAGGCGCATGGGCTTCAGTAGTTGTGGCACGTGGGCTCAGAAGTTGTGGATCGCAGGCTCTAGAGCACAGGCTCAGTAGTTGTGGCGCACGGCCTTAGTTGCTCTGCGGCATGTGGGATCTTCCCGGACCAGGGCTCGAACCCGTGTCCCCTGCATTGGCAGGCAGATTCTTAACCACTGCGCCGCCAAGGAAGCCCTGTAATTTTTATTGTACAAGTCTTTCACCTCTTTGGTTAAGTTAATTCCTAAGTATTTTCTTCTTTTTGATGCCATTACGAATGGAATTGTTTCTGAAATTTCGTTTCCAAGTGTTTATTGTTCATGTATAGAAATGCAACTGATTTTTGTGTGTTGACTTTGTATCCTGCTACCTCGCTGAGTTGATTTATTAGTTCTAACAGCTTTTTTGTTGAGTCTTTAGGGTATTCTACATCTAAGATCGCATCATCTGAAAAAACGGAGATAATTTTACTTCTTCCTTTCCAATTGGGATGTCTTTTATTTCTTTTTCTTGTGTAATTGATTTGGCTAGAACTTCCAGTACTGTGCTGAACAGAAATGGTTAAAGTGGGCATCCTTGCCTTGTTTCTGATCTTACATGAAAAGCTTTCAGTCTTTCACCATTGAGTATGGTGTTGGCTATGGGTTTTTCATATATGGCTTTTACTATGTTGAGGTACATTCCTTCTATCTGTTTTGTTGAGTATTTTTATTGTAAAAGGGTGTTAAGTTTTTTCAGATGCTTTTTCTGCATCAATGAGATGATCGTGTATTTTTTTCTTTGTTGATGCGGTGTATTATATTGATCAATTTTCATATATTTAACCATTCTTGTATTCTAGGTATAAATCCCACTTGGTAATTCATTGTATATAATCTTTTAAATATGCTGCTGAATTCTTTTTGCTAGCATTCTATTGAGGACTTTTGCATCAGTGTTCATAAGGGATATTGGTCTGTAGTTTTCTTTTCTTGTAATGTCTTTGTCTGGCTTTGTATCATGGTTATGCTGGCCTCATGGAATGGGTTCCCTCTTCAATTTTGGAGAAGTTTGAGAAGATTTGGTATTAATTTGTCATTAACTGTTTGGTAGAATTCACCAGCAAAGCTGTCAGGTCTAGGGCTTTTTTTGTTGTTGTTGGGAGATTTTTTGATTACTGATTCAATCTCCTTACTAGTTATAGGTCTATTCAGATTTTTTTTTCTAATTTATTTTATTTGTTTATTTTTGGCTGCGTTGAGTTGTCATTGCTGTGCACAGGCTTCCTCTAGTTTCGGTGAGCGGGGGCTACTCTTCGTTGCAGTGCGCATGCTTCTCATTGCAGTGGCTTCTTTTGTTGTGGAGCATGGGCTCTAGGCACACAGGCTTCAGTAGTTGTGGCACACAGGCTCTAGAGTGCAGGCTCAGTAGTTGTGGCGCACAGACTTAGTTGCTCCACTGCATGTGGGATCTTCCCGGACCAGGGCTTGAACCCGTGTCCCCTGCATTAGCAGGCAGATTCTTAACTACTGCGCCACCAGGGAAGCCCAAGTCCTCTGTTTCTTTACTTATCTTCTGTCCTCTTGTTCTGTCCGTTATTATGAGTGGTGTATTGAAATCTCCAGCTGTTATTGTAGAGCTGTCTGTTTCTCCCTTTAGTTCTGTCAGGTTTTACTTCATATATTTTACTGTCATTTGGTGTATAAATGTTTATAAGTTTTAAATCTTCTAGTGTATATAATGTTCTTTGTCTCTTGTAACATTTTTTGACTTAAAGTCTATTGTTTCTGATATTAGTATAATATCAGAGTCTCTTATAGACAGCATATAATTGGATCATGTGTTTTAATCCAGTCTGCCAGTCTCTGTCTTTTGATTGGAGAGTTTAACTCATTTATATTTAAAGCAATTACTGATAAGGAGAGACTTCTGTCATTGTGCTATTTGGTTTCTGTATGCCCTGTAGTTTTTTGTTGCTTATTTCCTGCATTACTGTCTTCAGTGTTTAGTTGGGTTTTTGTGGTGAAGTGTTTAAGTCCCTTTCACATTTCCTTTTGTGTATATTCTATAGATATTTTCTTTGTGGTTACCATAGGGATTACATTTAACATCCCAAAGTTATAACACTATAATTTGAATTTATGCGGGCTTAACTTCAATAGCATACAAAAGCTCTTCTCCTTTACAGCTCCACCACACCCATTTTGGTTGTTGATCACAAGATTACATCTTTACACATTGTGTGCCCCTAGTTCTTTTAAACGAGTTTATGAACTAGTTCTTTTAAATGCATTAGTTTCCTAAATTATGCAGAAAAAGAGATTTGGAGTTACAAACCAAAGTTACAGTAATAGTGGCTTTTACACTTTCCCTTCAAATGTATTGCTGTCTTAAATCATGTGGACAAAACCAGAAGGTACAGTTACAAACCATTGTTACAATAGTACTAGCTTTTATAATTCTCCATGTACTTACCCTTATTAAAGTCTTTATTTCTCCATACAGCTTGAAATTACTGTCTAGTGTCTTCATTTCACCCTGCAGGACTCACTTGAGCATTTCTTTCAGGGCAGGTCTAGTGGTCACGTACTCCCTCAGCTTTTGTTTATCTGGGAATGTCTTGATTTCTCCCTCACCTTTTTTTTTTTGGCGATACATGGGCCTCTCACTGTTGCGGTCTCTCCCGTTGCAGAGCACAGGCTCGGGACGCGCAGGCTCAGTGGCCATGGCTCACAGGTCCAGCCACTCCACGGCATGTGGGATCTTCCCGGACCGGGGCACGAACCCGTGTCCCCTGCATCGGCAGGCGGACTCTCAACCACTGCGCCACCAGGGAAGCCCCTCTCCCTCACTTTTGAAAGACAGTTTTACCAGATACAGGCATACCTCAGAGATATTGTGGTTTTAAGTGTGCAGTAGCCTTATGTCTAAAAATATATATATACATACCTTAATTTAAAAATACTTTATTGCTAAAAAATGCTAACCGTCACCCAGGCCTTCAGCAAGTCATAATATTTTTACAAGAGTAAAATCAGAGATCACTGATCACAGATCACTGTAACAAATATAATAATGAAAAAACTTGAAATATTCTGAGAATTATCAAAGTGTGACGCAGAGACTTGAAGTGAGCAAATGCTGTTGGAAAAATGGTGCCAGCAGACTTGCTTGATACAGGGTTGCCACAGATCTTCAATTTGTAAAAAAACACCATCTGTGAAGTGCAGTAAAACAAGGTATGCCTGTGTAGGATTCTTGGTTGACAGCTTTTTTTTCTTTTAGCACTTTGAATATATCAGCCCACTGTCTTCAGGCCTCTAAAACTTCTGATGAGAAGTCTGCTCATAATCTTATTGAGGATCCCTCGTACGTGATGTTTTGCATCTTTCTTTATCTTTGTCTTTTGAAAATGTGGGTCTCTTTGAGTTCCTTTTCCTTGGAGTCTAATGAACTTCTTAGATGTTTATATTAATCATTTTGGGAAGTTTTTGGCCCTTATTTCTTCAGATATTCTCTGCCCCTTTCTCTCTCTCTCTCCTGGGACTCCCACAGTGTATATGTTGGTCCTTTGGTGGT